CAAAAGAGGGAATTGAATAGAATTTATAGACCTAAATTTTACAGATATTGGTAAAAAAATAAGGGTTTCATGCATGCTTTAACAGGAATTTGTCCGAAAAAATATTTTGATGCATAATTGAATTGGTTTATGTCCGAAAAATATTTTTGCCCCTTTTTTTGAATGTCCGGAAACCGACCTCCCCCCCAAATTTTTCATCGACTTTCGCAGGAAAATTCTAGCAGACACCACCCAATTAAAAGGGGGCTAGTTTTGCCCCTGGTATCACCATTCAACAGTTTCAGCCAAAGTTATTCAACTCAAAGATGCAGTACAGTCAGATCTGTGCATCTGCTCACAGGAGGCCTCTTTTTATTATACAAACAGTTTATTTAGGTTTTTATTTCATTTTATATTCCTGCAAAGTTTGATCGTTGTGTCTTGATAATTTATTATACTAATCATGAAAATATAAATAGTCGTCCAATAAAATTCAGTATTTTGGATACTGAAATGTAAACAAAGCCTTTGTTTACATACGGACTGTACCGCATCTTCAAACATGTTTAATATACCTCATTTTAAAAACGTTTGAAACAATTTAATAAGATGTATTAGAAATTCACAAACCTTACAGTATCATCGTTTTCTCAGTATTGACAGTTGGACGCTGTGTGAGGCCACGAAGTACATGCACTACATGGTACTTTCGCAAACGTTCTCCTACAACAAAGTAGGATAAACAGTAAATATAATGTGGTATAATATGCAAACACAAATAAAAGATACCGTCAAGTACATTTGATTCGCACACATACCCTATTCTTGCAAGGAGACTGAGGAGTTTTGCGAGTTCTCCACACTTGCAGCTGGCAGAATACAAAACGTTCTTTAATATTTGCCTTACGCGGGCAACCTCGGTTACTGTTCTCGTTTCTTTTGGTGGCACATGAACTTTTACAACTATAATTGTTAACCTGTGTGAAATGAAGCAATTATTTGGTCTTTTCCGCCGCTGAAAATGTGAATATATGCACATTTTTATAGTCGGAATGTTGTGATTCCGACCTTTTCCGACATATTCCGAAAATCGGTTTGTTATGCGCAGAACGGATGCGCAGCGGGTGACACTGCCGCTTTAAAGCTTGTCGGAAAGAAGAATATAAATTAATTCTAATTTTCAGAACCTTTCTAATTGTTACTGAAAAAAGGAATAACATTGATTAAATAACTGAGACGTTCAAATGGGTTACAGCTGTTTGCGCTGAATTGTTTTGTATTATATCAAAATATTCCCATATTTTTATACAATAAGAAATAATGTAAATTCTTGAAGCATAGCCTTGAGCAAAGTGACCCAGGGTCGGCCTGAAAAAGTTGAGTTTTTTATACAGAACCCGTGACTTACTTGAATTCTAGTTTCATTGATAATTGTTTCTAAACCTAGAGACAATTCAGTTGCTAGAAAACTATACTGAGCGAAACTAACGAAATATTGACATTTGACATCATTGCCCGGGGTTTCCCCCGAGATTTAATTCGTACATTCTAACGAAACTTTTATAAAACAGTTTAAAAACGATGAAAATTCTGTCTGTAGTATGACTAATTCTGAGTTTTCCAATTTCATTGAACATTGTTATTTGTTAAACATGTATTTGTTAAAGAGGTAAACAAAGCGAACAGAGCGAAGATTGTATAGTATGTCACAATCAGGACTCGTGGCATTGAGGCGCGCAGAACACACTGGACACACTGGCATTGAATGACTCTATCCGTGAAGCCAAACTGTACTCAAACAATTTGATTCAAGCGCCAAACCAAAGAATAATGATGAAAGACATGTATTTACATAATGAAGTTTCATTCAGTGTAGTGTAAGGTGATTTTATCTGTTAATATCAATAATTATGTTTACCAATAAAGTATGCTCGATTTCGACACATTTTCAAATTTTACAAAGTTTGCGCGCTTGTCATTTTTGTCAAATGGTAGAGCAGAAAGATATTATTGGCGATTTGTGTTGACTAATGTTAGTAGTTTATAGAAAAGTTAAAGTCATGTGCCAACCAAGTGCCACGATTTTGAAATAAGCTTTCGAAGTTGACATATTTTGAGACGATATCCTTTATCCGTTCGGGAGGGTCAATAACTGCGCTGTTTTCTATTCTATACCAAAGAATAATGATCTAAGTTGTATCACCGACGAAAATAGAAGGATAAGTCTATATTTCTGAGCAAAAATTTTGAAATTTAGGTATGAATTTGATTTGAAAAATAGCGCTGAAAATATGTCGATATTTGGCCTTCATTCGGAGTATCAAGTTGGTTACCAGTCGATCGAACATCAATCGCCCCCACAAATAATTTAAAGGAAATTTGAGTAAAATGACATCGATTTTAGTTGTTCCCAAGGATAGATCTTCAAAATACTAGAGTATGAGAGAAATCTATTTTTGAGCCCCATATTGACCTGGAGGTTTTTACGGAGACAGCCTCTTAAGCCCTTGCAGTGCGGTTTGGAGTGTGTACTGAAATATCTCCGCTGCAGTGTTTGTACCATAGTTTAGTCTTTTGTAGCGATACAAACCTACATGAGTGCTAAAGGTTGTTATATAACGAGACTGTTCGTCCAGTTCTAACTGATGATACGCTTGGCTCAAATCAAGTTTCGAGAAAAATTTTGCTCCATTCAGGGCAAAACTAACATCATTTACTGTTGGTATAGGATGGCGTACTCGTCTTATAGCTTCATTTGCGAGCCGCATATCGACACATATGCGAACCTGTCCATCTTTTTTGGTAACAGCTACAATTGGTGAAACCCAAGGAGTAGCTTCATTTTCGGGCACTTTTTCAATCACATCTTGATTTTCTAATTCAGTTTCGCGTTTTTCACTTTTTCTCGAATGTGATAAGGTATGCGCCTTTGGGGTTGTGCTTTCGGAATTTTAGTTTTGTCTATATCTAGTTTAATCTTTTCTCCCTTCAATTTTCCAAGATCGGAAAAAACTTTAGAATGCTTTTGAAGGATGTTTTCTAGTGCGGCATCCTTTGATGTCAGTTTGTCTAGATGCAAACTAATAAGTCCGAGTTCTTGTGCAGTAGAAAGAGAAAGTAAATTTCCACAGTTCGCAGCTTTAGCGACATAGAATGTGGCTACTGATATTCGTTTTCGTGTTTCGATTACCGCTTCGAATTTTCCCAAAAATTCAACTGGTGATTTCGTATTATACGCGAAAGCTTTCGTGCTCGTGCGAGTTAATTTTATGTCTTGCATTTTGTTAAAAGTGTCACGATCGATCACATTTATTGTCGCGCCACTGTCAATTATTGTTTGAAATTTGGCACCGCCTACTTTAACATTGACCTTGTTATTGTGCTTTGTATTTGTCATGGTATATAAATAGTCTTCATCGGAACTCGTGTTTGATCCTGTATCTAATGTTTTTAAATTTCTTTGTGCATGCTTTCTGTTTGTGTATCTCGGTGATCGCGTTTGTTTTTGTTTTCCTCGACAAACAGCAGCGAAATGATTCGGTTTTCCACAATTATTACAGGTTTTTCCTTTCGCTGGACATGCCCCTGTGTGTGGATAAGCACGCCCACAATTTCTGCAAATAACATTACTACTGTTCGAAATATTACCGTTATTAGGTTTTTGTTCTAATTTATTAGCCTCACCGTCAGTTTGTTCTTTAGATTCGATTTGTTCAGCTTGATACTTGCTCTGCTCGTCACGACGTCCTTCTAAAAGCATTGATTTTAAGTCAAATGTAGGATCACGCAGTGCTCGCTTTCGTATTTTTGATGAATTTCCGCCTATAATGATTTGTTCTTCGATTTCAAATTCAACGTCTGCGAATTCACAGGTTTCTGATATTGTTCTAAGTTTGGTGTGAATGAATTGATCTAATGTCTCATTGTGTTCAAGATTTACAAGATTTACAAGATTTATCGTATTTTGAGAATGAACATTGCACACAGGAGTAAAGAAATTGTTGAACGTTGGTGGCAACAAGTTGTTATGATATTTGTACATGAAAAGAACCACGTGTAGATTTAGAAGATCAGCCAACTTAATAATATTCAACTGTTTGAAAAGTGAGCTAGAGTGGGCATCAAATTTAGAGAAAGTTATAACACGCACAACCTTTTTTTGGAGTATAATTAAAGGTTTGACAGTTGAGGAATAAGCATTACCCCATATGATTAAACCATATGTTATAAAAGGGTAAATTAAAGCATAATATAAATTAACCAGAATGTTGCTATCTACAAAATATCTAAGTTTAGACAAAATTCCTATACTTCTTTTAATCTTTTTTGAAATGAACGTAATTTGTTTTTTCCAAGTTAAATGAGGATCGAAAAAAACACCAAGATACTTTATGTGATCTACTTGTTTAATGACTTTATTTCTTACCGAAAGTTTTATGTCTGTTAGTATATTTTTTTGGTAAGGATGAAATATAAGAAAGTTTGATTTTTCAACATTAAGTGATAACCTATTAGCACATAACCAAGTATCTATATTACTTAATTATATATTTATATTGCTTTCAAGTTCAAGTAAGCATCTATTTTTGCAAAACAAATTTGAATCATCAGCAAAATGATGAAAATCGAAAAAATTAGAGCACTTATGAAAATCATTGATGTATAAAAGAAATAAGAGGGGTCCTAGCACTGACCCTTGGGGAATTCCGCAAGTGATATCATATAGATTAGATGAAATATTGTTTATTGAGATGAAACTACTAAGTCTGTTATACATGAGTTTTTCCAGTAATTTGTTAAAAACAGAAAGAAGAGAAATTGGTCGATAATTATTTATATTAATTTGTAACCCCTTTTTGTATACTGGGATAACCCTGGCGATCTTAAACTTACTGGGTACTATACCTGTAGCGAAAGAAGCATTGAACACAATTTCCAGGGGTTTCGATATAAATTGTTTCAAGATTTTAAGAATATTTATAGGAAGGCTGGAGGGCCCTGTTGCTTTACCAGGTTTCAGAGTTGTGATCATAGACTCAATCTCAGCCGATGTAATAGGGGATAGATAGAAACTGTTAGTAGGGGAATAATTATGAATATAATCTAATGGTGATTTGTCGACTTTAGGTATTTCCCTTGCAAGATTTTCCCCTACGTTAGCAAAATAGTCACCAAAGGCATCAGCGATCTTTTTGCTGTCGTTTAATTCCTGGTCATTATATATTAATTTTGTAGGATTACAGTTGCTATTTTTTTTTAGGTAGATAATTTGTTTCACACCGTTCCAAATTCTTTTTGAATCTTTAGAATGTTTAATGAAATAATTGTTATAATATTTCTTTTTGCTAATTCGTAACAAATGATTTATTTCGGTATATTTTAAATTTAGAGTGATAATGTTGAGATTTTGTTTTTAGGTATTTTTGATAAAATTTGTTTTTTACATAAATCGATTTCTTAATGCCTGGCGTTATCCATGGTTTGGATTGAATCTTCAATTCTTTTTTAGATAAACGTTTAATGGGAAGGTGTTTATCAATAATTGAAGACATTTTATTTAGAAATATTTCAAACAGTGTAGACGGATCAGGATCAGTTAGAACATGTTGCCAGTTTATTCCTCGAACCTCGTCAATCAAATCAGGTTCATTGAACTTGGAGTAGTCTCTTCTAAAAATTTTAATTTTGGTATTTAGGGAAGAAAATTTATTTATGATAAGAAAATTAGGCAAATGATCAGTAACATTCATAGACTATGTTACCGCTTAAAGTAAAATAATCCATAGAATTAAAGAAAATATTATCAATAAGGGTAGCTGTATGATCTGTTATACGAGTTGGTTGAAGAATATGAGGTTGAAAGAAGGACGTTCCTAAAGTATTAATGAATTCATCCGTGCCATTGTGAGTTTCGTATTTAAGAAGGTCTAAATTAAAGTCTCCCATTATTATGCAAAGTTTGTTTTGCCTCTGAATCGTATCTAGAGTTGAATTTATGTACTTCTGAAATTTGTCTACATTACCATGTGGATGTCTATATACTACTCCACACAATATATTTTTTCTTCCCTCTCCCTGTATTTCTACCCAGAGAGACTCGTAATCTTGCTCCGTTATTGTTAGGTCAGCCTTTGTGTATATTTTAGATTTTTCTTAATAAAAAATCCTACCCCTCCAGCGTTAGAGAGGCTAGGCTGAGAGATATAATTATAGCCAAGTAGATCACAGTTCGTTATGGGGTCTTGATTAATTTTTAGCTTAATTTCAGTAAGCCCAATTATAGAGAATTTAAAATACAGATCTTTTAGCATATTATTAAATGTATCAAAATTTGCAGATAAACTTCTTATATTACAATTTAGTACAGAAAATGAACTATTTCCTTCCAAGCAATGGGCAATATCTGGATTATCATGAAATTCATGCGAGTTGTAATAATTAAAATTAATATCATATGGCATATGTAAGTCCACATCAGAGTGTGTGAGATGAGGTGTATTTGTTGGAGATGAAGTGACTTTTAAGCGAGGAAACAAACTATAGTTCTCGCTCCTGTTGCAATGTGTAAAATTATAATCACACTTAAGACATTTTCTTTGCATGCAGAGGTAGCTAAAATACAAGGCCAAGGAAAAGGAATTCAAGTCACAGGGTTATACAAAGACTTACCGAAAAAATATAAAAATAACAGCGAACAATAGGGGCAATCAAGCAAGTCGAAATTCAGCAAACAATAGAGGCAATCAAGCAAGTCGAAATTCAGCCTTTTCAATAAGGCAAATGACTAATGACTTCGTAAAATTAAAATTAAAGTAAACGAATATAAATTATATTTGTAAGTTGCTTAAATGCACCCGTAAATCGAGTAAACAAAAAGCAATTGCTAAGAAAAGGCAAGAAAAGACCATCAATACCTAAAAGCCAGCCCAGGCAACTCGAATATAAAATTATACTCTTAGTAGAAAAGCTCAATAAATTATTTGTCAAAGGTCATCACACACAAACATCAGACATATAAAAATTAAAGTTTAAAGAAATCTTTAGGGCTTTCGATTATAGCCTTTTATCGATTATAACGATAAACTTCGTACCGCCGATTCTTTTGAGGGTCGAAGTAAGCCTTTAATTTCTGTTTCGCGATGTCGTAGTCCGTATCAGTTCCTGTCTCGGGGATTTGTTTAAAAATCTCGCGAACTCTCGGTCCGGCTTGATATAGCAAGAGTGCACGTTTTCGCTTTGGATCCGTTATTCCACTTGCGGTTATATACATTTCGAAGTCTGACTGCCAATTGTTCCATCTTGTCGAAAGGCTTGTTCCGATTTTTGCATCTGGGCAAAATTCTGGCATTGGAGTTATTGTTACAGATTGCATGATCTGTACAGCCGGTTGCTGCAGTCGTTGAGGCTCTGCCTGCTCTTTCACCATCGTTTCGTTTAATAGAATACGTTTATCTACTTTATCTTCGTCGCCATTATAATATTCTCTTATTTAATAGACTTCTTGATATCTCGGCTACATGTAAACAACTGAATATATAATGTCCATAATAGACGTACATTACTATAGGCCCTATTGAGCCACGAAGGTGTTTGCTATCCAAATACTGATATTTTACGCACAGACATATTACAGTAGCATGCACTGCCATGGAAACTCTATTTGATTGGGGGCTGAAAATGAGGGCCAAGGATATTTTTAAATTTGGGGTCTCTGAAACGCCATTTCCTGGACTTTGGGGGAAGTTTTGACAGAATTCTGATGGTCAGAAATCAGCGTTTTAGTATATCGAAATTTACAATTTGCTTACAATTTAGTAGTACTAAATGGGCGAAGGCATATTTAACAAGACGCCTACTCAGGCGTTCACACCACTGAGCTGTATAATAACTGGAGGACCTGCTCCTATACTTCGTTCAGTCAACAAAGTGTCGCCAAAAACATGGCGGATTTTGAGTGAAAATGACGCCATTTCCATGACAACACTTCCGAAATTCTCATGGTAGGTACCACTGACCAGGCTCAATTCTGAGCCCACGGCCGTTTTCACACCCCCCTGGTTTTTGAAAAAATATTTTTGCAGATATTATTGTTCTCGTGGTTTTGAATCGGTTTTTAAATTTTTTTCGATATAAATTTTCTACCTTTGATTATTTGCACAAAGATATGCAAGTCGTATATGTTATTCTCGCCCGTGACAGACGACAAACAAATTTAAAACCTCAAGAAATGTGGGAAAAGACGAGACTTGAATGTGGATTTACAAAGGGTAAGAGACAAATTTTCATTTGAATTTTTTAATATTTAGACTTTACCTTATTTGACATGAAAATGATAAGCATAACGACGAAACAGACACTCTATTTGTTAATAAAAAAACTTCCTATGCAATACACATGGTAAAGTGTAAAATTTTCCACTATTTTACTAATTTTAGCAAGCTGTACGGTTCACAATCGCAAAATATTTGGTTACAAACTACGAAGCTTTGATCGATATTCAGTCACATATACGAGGATTACGACGGTGCGAACTGTCTAGTGTAATAATGTTTAAAAGTTTGACTCCTGAGGTCTCGTTTTATAAACAGACATAAACCTCTTTTCCAGGATGCATGGCCTGTTTTCTTACAAGTTTTCTCAGTGAAATATCACTCTGAATGAGCAATGTATCTTTATAATGCACCTAGCAATGTTAAGCACCAGAGGCCTAGGGAGGGGGGGTCGGGCATAGGTGGGGCAATCAAATGCCCTGCTGTCGGGCAATAAATATTGGTCAAATGCCCCACCATTTTGCAATAAATTGCAAGAAATACTATGTTAATAAAAGTCATTCGGTTCAAATTGCCCCAACTCAGGGCCAATTAGTGCTAATCAAAATCCCCAGGGTGGGGATACAATTGATGATCAAATACCCCACATATGCCTGACCCCCCCCCCCCTCTGGGGGTTAACATTGATAGGAGCATAAGTGCACTCATAATTCTGATACCCCTGGTTTAAGCTAAGGAGTTAGGTCACATTCTTTTGTTTACCTTGCATGCTCATATATGCTAATTATGTTATTGGTGGATTTTTGTACAACCTACATAATTAGTCTACTCTTGTTTATTGCAGATTTATCCCACAGTGACACATTCCTTTCTGGATGGCAAGTTACAGGACCAAGACACACATATCTTTGGAAACTGAACATACTGTATTTTAACCCATTGAGTGGCATTGCACCCTACTTTAGTATTTTACTCTGTCTAACGCCAGACGATTTTACTCGTCAAGAGGAGAGCGCTGGTGCAATGGGTTAACTGGCCTATCTGCCATCTATGTGTCTAGTTAACCCATTGAGTGGCATTGCACCCTGATGTACCTTACTTTAGTATTTTACTCTGTCTAATGCCAGACGATTTTACTTGTCAAGGGGAGAGCGCTGGCGCTTGATGGGTTAATACATGCTTCCAGAAATTATGTCACCTTGGCTATATATAGAGTCTCATTTTCACGATTGAGACATTGGACATGTCACATACATGAAAATGAGGCTCCATAGACAAGGTGAAATACATTCCGGAAGGGTGTATTTGACTTTTTTGAAAAATAATTAGCAGTAAACAATTTAAAAAACAAAAATGTATAATTTTAATTGCTATAAAACTTATTTACACTTCAATAAAGTTATCATAATCATATAATTATTTATGTTGTTATGCACATGGTATTATAATTAACTAATTCATTTTGTTGTTCTGCATGTTTTTCTGCATGTTGATGCCTCAGTGCCATCTCTTGTGCATATTAAACATATAATTTCTGCAAAATAAAATATGACATTATTATCATGATACATTATACATCTTTAATACATCACAAAAATATCATATACACATATGTTAACCCTTCACAAGTGCCAAGTGGCAATGTGTCTTGATATGCCTTACTGTATTATTTTAATCTACCTAACAGACAATTTTACTAGTCAAGGGTGCGATTACATGATCTGTTTTTACCAAGACCATTGATCCGAGCTTCAAAATTAAATGTCATGTTTCAGTATTCAGCAATGCAATTACATTCCTAACTAAAATATGTCATCATCATAATTTCTCACAGGCTGTGTCATGGCCAATTGGACATCACTACTCCGAATGTTAGAAATCATGGGTGGTTTTACAGTTTTACTTGGGGGGGGGGGGTTAAACCCCTCTAATTAATAGGGTGTTCAACCCCACCAAAATTCCCCTCCCGTTTTGTGTGAAAGGCTTTAACCCAAACACCTAACCCCTGCCAAAGCTCACTGAGTGGTGCTGCTTGCACCCGGCCACCAGAAATTCTTCTACCCCTCCTTTTAAATAAATGAAAATCTGCCCTTGTTAGAAATGTTGTAGCATTCCAAATTTACCTCATGATTAGTGTATCAGTGACTCACTTAAATTCCGGCAGCTTGTGGGCAACATTTTTGTTGCCAACAAGCTGTGTAAAACTATATAGTAGTTTTACATAGTTCTAAACAGACAATGGTACAAAATGATATCTATTTTTAAGACTCTTCCCTTGATGAGTAAAACATCAGGATTTAATCTCACAGATTGAGTAAAATAAGAAGGTAGCCAGGGTTCATTGCATTTTAATATTGGGCTGACTATAAATGGGCTGTTTATTTGCCGGTAGTGTAATTAACCCACTGCGTGACAGCAGGGAGCAGTCTCATTTAGTCTGAATCCCCTTAAGATCGTCTGGCATTAGACAGAATAAAATAATAAAGACAGTCTTTAGGGCTCATCAGGACAGGGCACATGGATTGTCACATGTAGGTGAGCCTCCTCTACGGCTCAACTCTCTCTGGTCTTGTGCTTATCTATATATACTAATTCTGCACTGTGATGGGCAGGTATATAAATTTCACACCATATTTAATAAACGTTTTAAAATATATGAACATGTAATTAAACAACCACAATTTTTAGTATAAATTAAAAAACTGGCAATAAAACCACAAAGGCCAGTGCTGACACAAAACAACATAATTTCATGTACACAATGTTTGGTCGTTAACAATACTTTTATGTCCCCTATTGAAATATTTGCTGTATATATTAGGATGATAAGTTTTTGACATAACATAATCGAAGGGTCTAGTGACTCTAGAAAGTTATAAAAAAGTTTCGTGAATCTTACCTGAAAGAATTAGTCTTTCTTTGTAGTGAAATGCTGCATCCACAAGCGAAGCAAACCCGCACCCTCGCTCCGCGTTGTAAAACAAGTAATGTTGGAGGAAAATATTAAGATTTTTTAGCTCAAAAACAACAGAAAACTTGAAATATCTTTAATATTTCTGTCCAAAAACCAGGGGGGTTAAGGACATCGTCGGAAGCTTAGGATCGCGGTTGGTCAGTGGCAATTACCATGAAAATTTCGGAAGTGTTGTCATGGAAATGGCGTAAGATCCGCCATGTTTTTGGCGACACTTTTTTTCCCCGAGCAGGTCCTCCAGTAATATAGTATAGCTCAGTGGTTCACACTGACCTGAAAATGATGACATGCGCGCTATGGTGCAGTCTCGTTCCCTGAGCCTGCGGTCCTTGGGAAGGAAACGAAGGCTCTGGGATAATCCGTTTCAGGGAGGAATCTGATTGGCCGTTGATATGGAATGTGCAGTTCAATCTTAGGCCACATAAAAAATAGTTGGTTAGCGTCCTCGCCCGCCCACAAAAAGGCGCCGCTCAGGATTTTTTAAAATTTTTTTATTTTAGAAAAACCCAACTTTTATTGATCAACGGGCTCTAATATATGTAGTATTTCTGTTGACTGTAGTCAATTGTGTTAATAAGTTGTCTAATTGCGTGCGAAAATGACGGTATGAATCATATTTTAAAATAGATAAAAAAGAATCAGTACTGCGCAAGAAAATCCAGTTTCGGACCTAAAACCAAGGCGTTAAAAATTAGTAAAAATTAAAAAAAAGCGCCCGCCCGCCTACTTTTTGGCAAATGCTAAGGACGCTAACAAACTATTTTTTATGTGGCCTTAGCCAGAATTCCTGGCTTTCGGTAACGGATTATCCCAGAGCCTTCGTTTCCTTCCCGAGGATCGCAGGCTCGGGGAACGAGATTGGCTATGGTGTAATAGACAAGGGAATGGGGAGCAAGAGAGTTCGTATAGAACAGTTTCAGCGGTAGATACGGTAGATTTATCCAAAGAAAATCAATAATTTGACAACAAAAAGCAGAAGGCAGAAATCACCACTTTATCATTGGCAACTTTTCAACCCTATTCCATGCCATTAGTGCAACCTTGAGTGTCCCTATATGTCGTGTGGAGATTATCTATTGGTCGAGTGTCGAGAGTTAAATGTTGAGGGCGAAGGTAAAACGTCGAGAGCGAGGGCAAAACGTCGAGGGCGAGGTAATATGCGTTCCACGCTCATATTATATTTAAACTTCCCGGCAAACGGCCTTTTTGGCCGCCGACTGGAATTTTTCTTCTTCGTTCGCTTCATCTTCTCATTGTTATCTCCAAAGAATCATCATACATTACAGTTTTTTTAAAATAGCTAGTTCATTTCCCATTTATTACCTTGACCCTTGTAGCATAAATTTTATATTTACTATAGCTACCACAAACGGCTTTTTGCGCGAAAAGAATTGGCTAGTTTACATTGTTCATTATATTATGAAATATGATACTAGTTAAAATTCGCGTCGAGCTAAATGTTATTGTATTAGGCAAATGAGAGCCATACAATAAATGTCTTAGTTCTTGTAGGTATTTTGAAGGCACGCTTTATCTTTAGTGTAGCTACCACAAAGCGTTTGGCGCACCAACTAGTAGCTGTTGCGCGAATTTTAATACATGCATTAAGGTATATTGTCGACATTGTGTAGTGAAACTGTCAAACCTTTAACTTTTCCTTGTTTATATTTTGTTTATATATTATAGTGTGAACTAAATGTTATTCTCTTAGGCAAATGAGAACCATACAATAAATGTCTTAGTTCTTTTTGGTATTTTGATCGAACGCTCGCTTTATCTTTACTTCCGCGAATTCTAGTAGCTATTGCGCGAATTTCAATACATGTATTTTAATATGGTTAAACTTTAACTTGCCCTTGTTTATATTGTATTGTGAACTAAATGTTATTGTATTAGGCAAATGAGAACCATACAATAAATCAAAATAAACTGTCGAACCTTTAACTTGTCCTTGCTTATGTTCCACTACTGATTGTACAAATTCGCGTCGGGTCCAAATTTTGGGGTTTTCGAGTCGTTTAATACAACATATTGATTGTATAAATCCGCCGGGTCGGCCAAATTTTGGAAGCAAAGTTTTAGAGTCGTTTAAAACAAAAAGAAAAACATTAATTCAACACGCAAGAAAGTCCAGAGTGCGACAAAAAAGAACACGACTACACCACGGATGTTTATGACTCTACAATGTATATTTATAGACAGTTGTTTATTAGTTAAAAAGTCAAACTGTCGAACCTTTAACTTGTCCTTTGTAAAATTCGCTGGGTCCAAATTTTGGGGTTTTCGAGTCGTTACACGAAGAAAAACATATTAATTCAACACGCAAGAAAGTTCAGAGTGCGACACAACGTAAAATCCATAGGAAACCGGCACAACTCTTTGAAAATTCAACGAAACTGTGTGAAATATATTCTGATCACTCAGCCAAAAGGCGCCATTTTGAATCTGGACTGAATATGTCACCATTGGAGTTCGGAATTGTGCGCGTGCGTATAAGTCCATATAAGTCTATATATGAGCTAATAAACGAAAAATGCACCACAAGCATGGCATGAGCCGGCTATTACGTACATAAATACAAGCTTCTTACTATTATACATGAATCGTAGAGTCGAAGAATCGATGGCATTTTGGATTAATCGTTGCACCCTGAGCCTGCGATGCGCGAACGCAAACTCGATTTCTCGACGACGAAAAAAACAGAAGAAAACAGAAAACTAGGGATTTAAGACACTTGACTTTTCAAGTCAGTGTAATTAACTATATATTGGAGAAGTTGCACGAAAATATGGGTAATATGATTCTTTGCAGTTTGTCATGGATAATGTAGCCGCTTAAAATTAATCAATTGTCAGTATTCTAAAGGTATATTATTTAAATGATAAAGGTCTGCATGATTTTGAAAAAAGAATGATTTATATTAGCAAATTATTGGGAAGGCTGCAGCAGGTTGCTACGGCCTCAGAAGTAACTAGGGATCCAAGGATAGTGTGAAGTTTCAAATCGAAGAAGACACTGCAAGAACTATATAGGGTCGAAGACACTTACACTACGAAATACACAGTTACCAAAGGCATCTCATCTGCTTATCTATTGTTTTTAATACGTTCGGCACATGAGTAGCGCGACGTTTGAAACAAGTCTGACACATCAGGAACGTCGTGCCTCGTGGAACTGATACAATTTATTTATTTATTGTGATGCTACATGCGACAACTCGAAATTTAAATTCCTTCACCAACAACCAAATTTTGTATACTCTAAAACTTCATTTGCATTTGCAAAAGCATCCCCACGAGGCTACTGACATGCTAAACTTATTCTAAACTATGATTATTCCCATCATCCTTTTAGCACCCATATTGCATATTTGACTATTATCTCAGTGACAACTTTAATTGAAATAGCTGTATTAGATGTTATGAATAATAAGCACTACGACGTTGCATAATTAAACGGACGCATTTTATCCCCATCGGTTCCGCATTTATCCCCATATCCGTTCCGTTGATCCGGTCCATCCGTTTCCGCATTTTAACCTAATTGTGACATGTTTCACATTGTTTCACAACAACAAGTCTCATTAATGACCTTTGACTTTATATTCCCAGTGTCACGTTGTGTCATTTTCAGCTTTTCGCATATATTCAATAATGTCACTTTAGATTTCAATAGTTTCACAGTTATAGCAGTGTTTAATTAAAGCAATTTTGATACACGTACGCGTTTGATACAACTCTGTGTACAAATTTATTCTCGTAAGATCTGGTAGAGTTATCGTTGCACTGAATTGAACACGAGTTTGCACTGTTGTGCTATTGTAAACACTGGACTGGACTTTGGACTACGGACTTTGGACTATGGACTTTGAAAATAACTTGCTAAACTAGAGAAATCAGTTGAGTCAGAGCTCTTTATTTAAACAAGAAAGACGAGGAGATAGCCAACGTGTTATCGCCAATCGCTTGGCTCGCCAACAAGCTTTATGCAATAGAAGAAAAAAGCAAGGAGGTTGCCAACGCGTAACTGTCACGGACCTTGTTGGCTTGTTTACTGTCTAGCACAACGGCATATTGTAAACACTGGACTGGACTTTGGACTATGGACGTTGGACTTTGGACTTTCGATTTTGAAATTATATTATTTTTAAGATTTTCGTATAATTGTATTAATTAAAATCTAAACAGAGAACGAAAATTTGCTGCTTAAAAGCTTGCTACACTGCATGCACATGCATGATTATAATATTCAAGGTAAAAAATACTATCA